CATCTCAAATGATCTTAAAACGTACGTTTATTGAACAGCAGCAACAGAAAAGAGAACTTTTAGCTTAATACTCTAACTAATTACTTAACCTGGAAGCTGCTGCTGCCGCAGTGCATGCTGGGACAGCTGTCAGTCTGGAGAACGGACAAGTCAACTAAAGAGGGAGGGGCCAGAACTACATCCGGGGACTTTGTCCGTTCTCGGTCTGCTGTTCTTGTGAATTGAAACAGGCTGAGGACGTTTCAGGAGAACACATGAGGACGCGTATTGAGAAACGGCTACTGTCTGCGCTGCTGTGCTTGTTTGCGTTGTTCATGATGTTAGCCGGTTTTAGCATGTCTCCGTTTGTTTAGCATGCCTCTGACTGTGACTCCTCTGCCTCAGCCTCCCCCTCCTCCGGCCTGCCGCCTGCTTCATGGAGTCTCTTCCCCCCCTGTGCGTGTTGGTATACACACCTCACCTGTCTGAGTATTCAGCCTCACTCACCTGCATCTGAACACCCACTAGATCATTCAGCCTGTAACCTTAATCGGCAGATAAATTCAGTTAGAACACATAAGGACTCGGCTGCTTTGTTACCCGACTTAAAGTGCTTTTCTCCCTTTGATTTTCTCATGTCTCCATCATCCTCCATCCATCCCAATGTGTTGGTCCATCCGTCCATGGGGATTGCATGCAGACTTGGAGATGGAGAGTGTAATGCCGGACAGTGCATGGGTGGCCGACCCGCTAAACCACTACAATCTGAGCTCAGGTAGAGATATCCCCCCCACAATCCTGGGGTTTTTTCTGCCACTTCCAAACTTCACAGACCCTCCTCCCCTCTCCTGGTGATGGTAGCTCTGTGCGTCTCTGTTGTTTCAGGTTTTCTTTGTTTTTAGGTAGTTTTATTGGTAGGAAACATTTTAAACATCAGTTGTTTTCACATACCTGAATGTAAAATGTGTTTTCCTTCCATTTTCTGTTCCCTTTTCACCTCCGGGTCTCAGCTTTGGACCCATACCTCCCACTCCTCCTCTAAACGTCTTACCATCTTGGTAAGACGCTTAGAATCCAGATGCTCAACTGTTAGCAGTTCTCAGCTTTAACTTTCTCCAGTTAAATGGTCCAAAACAATAAGGATTCAGTCCATAGTTGGCTTCGGTCTTCTGCTGTCCGTCCTATTAATCCCTCCAGCACCAGTCTGTCCTGCATTTCTCCCAGTGTACCTGGCGGCCTCCTGCTGATGCATGCAGTGTGCTGTGCATTCCACAGGAGATTATCTGAGTGGTTGTTGGATGTCCTGAAGACTTCATCCCTGTCAGTTCAGTTTATGTGTGTGGCTAACCCATCGTATCAATCAGACAGGATCATCCAGTCAGATTAAAGGTTCAACGTTTTCTATTAAAGGAAAAGCAGCTGATTGCATCCATTCATTGACTTTTCTGGATCCTCTGCTCCTGGATGAGCAGGTTGAGATGGTAGCTATTGATCCTTCTCCGCAATCCCTTACACAGAGCATGCATGTGGTGACAGTGGAGAGGAAAAACCTCCAGCAGAACCAGAACCAGGCTCAGAATGAGCAGCCATCTGCTGAGGTTGACTGGGGTTCAAGGAGACAGAATTGGCGCTATAGAAATAAACTGAAATCAATTGAATAAACTGGAATATTGCAATGTTTGTGTTCATGTTGTTGTTGATAGAAGCAGAGAGACGACAGGAAGAGGAAAGGTGCTCCTGGTTGTGTTTGTGTGGGGGAAAGTCCTCTGTTTTTGGTGGAAGATGAAAGGTTGCTGCAGGAATACATCGGCTTTAGGTCTCCACCAGCCTGGATTTATTTCATCTGTTCACAATGAAGGCCCTATAAACCCATCCAAGAATCGTTAAAGCTTTGTCCTGGGAGACTCGGTCTCTCTGTCTCCCTCTCCATGGCGACTGGAAGAACACATTCCTGCAGGGAACCACACGGCTCTGGAAAAATCTCCTCGCTCTGCCTAGATCCACTTCCCCCTCTGCCAACTATTGCTGGATGGAAACCGTTGGCACGCAGCTGTCTCCGATCGAATCAAACGTGCAGCTCGTGCCGTTAATCCGTAACGCTGCTGGAACTGGGATTAGAATCTGCTTCCCTACATTAATAGTGGGGCTTTGTGTTTGAAATTCATTAGAAATAAGCAAGTCGGGAACTTTAGATGAATAGTGGCCGTTAGATATCTTTGCTCTCCAGACGGCCCAGTAGACCTGACCCAGATGCACAGTCTGCTATTATCTGCTTTCCTCTTCATCGCGTTGGGGAACCGACGACTCGGCAGCTGTGAGCAAATCCCAGCCAAGACAGCTGGTTATGTGAGGCAGAGGAAGGGAGACGGGGAGAGAATGTGAGAGACAGAGTGTGATTTGTCTTCCGTTTTCAAGGATTTCAGATCATTTCCTGTTGCTGTGAAAATATCCAGGCTGCTTTGTGTAATATGTTTCAGTGGCGCCTCAGTAAGGGACTGTTGTTGCTTTGACAGAAACTTTGTCACAATCAGACACCATTTTATCTGCGTTGTATTGGTTTAGACCAACATGGAGTAGAGGAGACGCTGTTTTTCACACTGGATGGGAAACATCTGAACACATGATTGATGCAAATTCTACCTTTGTTTTTGATCTCGACTTTGACTAGACCGTTCAGGCACATAAGTACGCTTTGAACTAAAGAAGCCTTTCTGGTAAAATGATTCCAACTTATTAAACTTCAAACCTCATAGAAGGTCAGGATGTGAAACCTCAGAAGGTCAAAGTTGACCTTAACACCGATGTTCAGATGAAAGGAGAAGTCAAAATGCTCACATTAAGCTGTTCTTTGGGATTCCTGCAAATAGGAACAAAAACAAGCGGACCAATCTTGAAGACATTTATTTGGTCAACTTTCAGTTTCTTAAAAAGTTTTTCCAGTCAGAAGTTTGAGCTCGCAGCTGGAGGGTAAAGTGTTCTGGAGCTTTGGTGGCTGCAGG